AGCTATTGACTGAATTGCTAGAAGACTGTAGAGAAACCGCCGACGAGGGAAGGATTATGATAGCGAACGCCCAGTTGGCTGAGGCCAGGGGTGATATCGACGCGGCGTTGACTTTATTGCGAGACATTAGACAAGAACAGGGCGACCACTTCGTCCGCTCCCGTGAACTCATGGCTGCGATGTATCTCAAGCATAGAAAAGATCGGCGCCTATACGCCGGCTGTTACAGGTTTGTTGAAATTGTTAAAAATAAGATTGAACGCCGATACTCATGGTAGAAATATTATATACAATTAGTAATTGTATTATTTATTAAACACTCACAATCAACATTTTACAATTTATATAATTTGAATTAAACTTGTTGAGTTTAATTAGTTTTTTACTACATTTTTTGAAATTCTGTGCCTTTAATGTGATTTTAACACAAATAAAATCTTAAATTTATGAGTTTATTAACAATTTACATAATTATAAACGTTTTTAATTAGTTACAATTAGCATTAATTACTATAATTCCTATTTAATATACATTTAACCAGTATTATCTAATATAATTAAAATTATAACTAACAAGGTGAAATATTTGTTAATTAGATTATTAAATACCGGAAATAATGAATAAAAAAATCTACAATTTATACAAAAACAATTCGAGTAAATATTTTTTATGACAAATGTTTTGACAGAGAAATTCTTGATAAAAAGCCAACGACTCAATCATTCCTAATGCTCGGCGACGCATATATGCATATTCTTGAGGTATTTGCCAATTAAATTACATTCAATACAAACATCGCTTTTAATTCAAATACCTATGCGTTTGAGTGACAGCCGGAGCGGGCGATAGAGATATACGAACAGGCGTTGAAGAAGAACCCCAAAGACTGGGTCCTCACCAGAAAAGTTGGACAGGCGTTGATTAAAACACATTTTTACGAAAAGGTTAATATTCATAATATTTAATTTGGCAAATATTATAATTTGATTGAATCGATAGGCCGTCACGTATTATAAGGCGGCCATTAAGACTAGTGGTCAAAATGCGTTTCGATACGACCTAGCTCATCTACTATGGCGTTTGAAGAGATTTAGTGAATCGCAGGCTATTATCACAAATGCTTTGGAGATATCGCAGAGTCAATGTAAGTTTCGTACTTTATTTGTATAAAATAATTTAATGACAAATTAATTATTAATATAACTATTAATATCTAATATAAAATCAATAAAATAGCTCAAGATTTGCAAACACTGGAGTGGGAGGTGAAACTGGTCAATTTGTTGGGTCAGGTGCAGCTCAACACTGACAATAAAGACACAGCTATTGCTACCTTAAAACGGGCGCATCAGACAAACCAAAAGTTTGTTTCATATTAATTATTCTCTATTTTAATAATTGAACGAATTTTTAAATAATTAATTAAAAATCTTTAAAACAGATTAATGAGACGATTGCCTGTCGAACAGCCGGACCTTTTGGCTGAACAGAAGAAATTTTCCATTAGGTTTTCAAACAATATATTTTTATTAAAGATAAAATAATTTAACACTTTATAATAAAATAACAATCGTATAGTTTATGCAAACAATTGGGTGAACTCATCTCAAGCCACTTGCGAGACAACAAACAGGCACTCAATGTCTATAAGGAAGCGCTGAATTACGACGAGGCAAACGC